TCCGGAAGAGCCTTGGAATACAGCCTTTGCTTTTCCAGATTGAGAAGTCACAGCTGCGATGGCTTGGGCAGGTGCTGCGAATGCCTCCAGAAAGGAAGGCTACGCAACTGTTCCTTGCAAATTCGACCGACAGAAGGCCAAGAATAACCTGGTGCAAACATGGAAGTTGTATGTTCGAGATTCCATTTGTCTTTTGCCGAAGCTCAGACTCTGGCACCGGATGGGGAACGTTGGAAGCTCTGTCTGACGTGTCAGCCTCCGCGACCCGAAAGGAGAAGCGGCGATGGAAGATAAAGAAGATTAAGATAAAGTAATTAGGCCAAAAATGTCTGACCAGTTTGCTAACAAACCGTTAGCTTTCAATACTGTCGGCACACAACTTTCTCCTTGCCAATCCTTCGGATTTACACGGCAAAGCATCGTCCGCCTGCGTCTAATAGCCTAGGGGACCGTTAAAGCTGGCCACGGCCCCATTCGTTCGAACATCAACGAATATGTTTTTGTTCCACCCAACAAAGTGCTAAAATACCACAGGGCCATGGCCTACTTTAACGGTTCCTTACACTACTAGAAGCAAGGGGACGGTGCTCGCCATGTAAATTTTGAGGACTGACAAGGAAAAATTTTAACAATTTGTGATCAGTACCTCACGTCTCCCATGATGTTAGGGTACAGCGACTGCAGCCAGCAGAGACGACTATGCAGGTAGGTGCCGGTGAACTCGGCATTTGACTGCAACTTCTCATCGTGCATCACCTGCAGCACCGCCAGCGCTGCTGCACAGGCGACTGGGTTCCCGCCATACTGTGAAAAAACATAAATCACTATTAACTGGTGTAATCGACTAGTATACGGTGTTAAAGTACTCCATGCCGTTTCCGAAATGCTGAGCGATTTCGCGCTTAGTAACAACCGCCCCGATCGGAAATCCGTTGCCCATCGGTTTACCCATTGTCAGAATATCAGGCACAACCGTGGCATCTTGGAGGCAATCACTCTACATCTGTGCTGCTACGAATACGAAACTACTTACCACCTCCGCTCTGCAGTTG